GATATAAATGGCTTAGATCTGAGGAATCTTGGCTAATCTAGATGACTAAAACCCCTTCTGCACCTTTTAAGGTCTTCAAGCATGTTGGGAAATGAGCAGCTGGTTAAGGAAAGAGGGGTTGGTTAGTAGTGCACCACAATGCCTTATAGACTGATGTATAGTGTTTGAAATCAGCTAAATATAGGTTAGAAATAGCCTTAGGATAAAACATTATCAATTTATTAACCTACTGTTTTTATTTTCTTTTTCTATATTATTGTCAGCACTATGTAAAATAATACGACTTCATACATTAAATATGACTGGAGGGGGTTGTCAGCTGATAAGCACCAAATTGAAAGCAGTAACAAGGCCACTGCCTTGGAGTAGGCAAATGTTTTCTCCGTCGCCATAAAATACAGGTAAAAATGTTTTCTAGGACTATTTTACAGATGCTCGTAAACAGACAGATTAGATGTGGAAACAGTATGTTGCATCCAGCTTCTATCGTCACGTTGCAGCAGAATGGCGGGTGTACAGAACCATTTTTGGTTAAATCAGCGTTCCATTACCCATACAAAATTGCCAACACTAATAATATGCTCGTTGGATTTGCGTCCTTGGAGTTCTGTTAGCATGAACTACAAAAAATGTCAGACTTTGCTCCATCCCTACAGCTGAATGCAGAGTGACATATGCACTCTCTGCATACAGCAAGGAAAGGAGTAAAGTAAGCGGCATTTCTATCGTATACTAGCACCAACCGCTGTTTTCACTGAAACCGCAACCTGTTTAAACCACGCATCCTTTTAAACCCGGGAGACAGCTGCAAAGCGTGCGTTTGCTTGGTCACATGGGTTACGTTTATATTTCAGTCAGATCATCCTACACCCAGATCAACAGACTTACGAACGTCCTCTTTTATCATGCTACTGACATTTGCATATGGCAAGCCGTTTTAACAAGTTATCCTTAATACAAACTGACTAGTATCAATATGTGATGCACATTTTTTAATCTTTAGCACATAATTAAGTACTTACTAGTATCTTATATTGGGATTTGGGGTTCAGAACTAGTATGTATTCCAATATATATTGATACCTATTAACTTCATTATTCACTACTTATTCTTTAGTTACTTTTGCCGTTTCTTCTCCAGTTTTTCTGGTATTAACTAATCAAACATTAGTACCCGTTTATTAGACATGACAGTGTATTCAAATTGGTACTAGTAAAAAATGTTTGTCTACTAATAAGATTTGAAATGAACAATAAAGTAGCCGTTCTGGCTAGTTATTACATATGACAAGCAATAAAGCAAGTGTCAATAGTGAGATAACTTATACCAGTGTTTTTTTTTTTATAAACATAAATATTTAAAACATATATACCGGTAAAGCTGGAATATATCCTAGTAACTATCCCAGATAAGCAAAAACAAGAGTAGTACCCACTGAATCGTGAAAACTGGAATATGTACCGACTGGAATGAATACTAGTATGAAGTGAACAGTAGGCTATTTAGTGGATTCAGTATCTAGTGAAAGTTAAAATTATAGTAGTCAGTATTAGATTGATTACTAGTCATTTACAATAGTGAATAAATATATTTAGTGTAAAGCAGTAAATGTTGAAACAGCTTGCCATAATCAGAGCTGTGGCGTGAGTAAACCGCTGGAGGCTGCGGCCAGCTGAAGAACAGGAGTCTTCTGCTCCATCAATTCACGACTCACGGCTAAAATGAGACATGCAGCACCTTTAAAAACAGTTGTAATGTGATATATCTCTATGATATTCCTATTGATTGTGATTAACAATCCACTAATGTGATTTTGTGACAATACCAGTAAAATCCCAAATGATCGAAAATAACACATTACAATTTAACACGAACCATTTTAATCGTCTAGATCTCCGATACCTTTCCTACTTTTCATCCATATGTCTCGTGTGGGTCACAACATTCTGATAAATCTTAGAAATTAATATAGGCCTACCTGTTAATCTTCCCGTTTGGCTTTAGTCTCCACGTAAAGTGACTGGAATGCTGAAGTGGGTGGCGGAAGTAATTCGCAGGGAATTTTTTTTTCTGCTGGAAAATGATTAGAACTGCATACTGTCGGTTTTTTCCTAGTGCTAATTAGGCCTCAGTGGCTCTGTGTTTCATGTGCTAAACGAATCAAAACGATGTTATCATGAAGTATGGAGCTACCATGTCGCCCTCTGCTCGTTTAGTGAGGATGGGAAGAAGCCTTTTCCACGGTATTCCTGATACACTTTGCTACTGGGGGATAAAAGCTTATTTTGCGCCTTAAATGGTATAATTACCGACAGATGTAATAAGTCCAAATACAGTAAAGCTTTCAAATGAAGTACATGCCGTCGCTGTCTTTAAATTGCGTTGCTTGATCTTCGCCTCTTCCCTCCCGAGTGTCTTCTTCCTCCGTCTTCTCGTTCTGGTCTCTTCGTTTTGACCGTCGCTCCTCGTCCAAGAAATGACCAATTCAATACAACGCGAGGCACCCCGTGGCCCTTTAAAAAAATTAAAATAAAGTAACCAAAATCGACTTGGTTATCTCTCCGGAGGAGCATACCCGTCCATCAGTTCAAATGTGACTGTGCCAGAATAGGAGGCGGGGTGAATTCAACATAAACAACCGTACAGTAGTTTTCTAAATAATTCAAATAATGTGCGCTCGCTCTGCTGTCAATTCAGTCCCGTATGAAATCATTCGGTCTGCACCAGAAACACGTAGCATCACATATGCGCGATTCAACCACACCCATTTTATTGCGAATGTACCACTGCAGCGCAGACCTCCACCGCCAAACTGCCAAACAGGGACGAACAGCACCTCACACTGGAACACACTCGAGTTTAGGCCGCTAAAGCTAAATATCAGGTCTTTCGTGAAACGTGGAAACGAGAATAAGTAGATCTCAATTTAAACCTTTGTGTAAGATGACAAATAAATGACTTGGAGAAAACAGTGACATTTTACAGAATTCCCCTATACGCGCTGCTCAATGGCTATGAATGCGCTCCTGAACTGAGTGTTGCCAGATCGCGCAAGAAGAGTCGAAAACAAGCGATTTGCCCTAAGAAACATAACGGAGCTGAGAAAGGAGAACAAACTATTATAATGACAGAGGGGAAGGCTCCAACAGTAGGTCGGGGTATTTGGAAGTGCCGTTAATTAGTCTCAGTATGTGCTTTTATTACAGTTTTGTTACCAACTCAATTAAGCTATAATTAGGTACTCACTACTAGGTGTTCTTTAGTTACTTTTTTTTTCAAATAGTTAATAGTTTCTGCCTTTCTTACCTGATAATAACACTCATTATAAAAACTTACTAATGTGTTTTGGAGGCCAAGCACCAGCCATAAAATAAATATTCTACTCTCTCTCTCTCTCTCTCTCTCTCTCTCAATTCAATTCAATTAATTTCAAATGAACTTTATTGGCATGACTGTGGAATAGCACAATGTTGCCAAAGCAATATGGAGAGAGAAAGAGAGAGAGAGAGAGGAATATTTATTTTATAATATATTCCTATAAAATATCCTATTTTATAGAATTATTTATGGCTGGTGCTTGGCCTCCAAAACACATTAGTAAGTTTTTATAATGAGAGAGAGAGAGAGAGAGAGAGAGAGAGTGTGTGTGTGTAAAAAAACTAACCATATATTAAAAAAAAAAAAGATTATAATAGGCGGACATGGCAACACCCACTGGACTGTACTCACATTATGCCAGAAGTTCAAACGATTGCGTAGTTTACTAAAATGTATACATTTTCACTTATCAGGTATGCCTTTTCTGTTTTTATTGAACATATTTAATGATACATTTATTTCCAGTATTTTTCAAAACATTTCTAAAAATACCCAACATCTGTTATTATCCAGATATGTTCACCTACACTTTCTCAAATTACTTATAGCTGTAATTAAAATTCCCATGTAAGGGCACTCAGTAATGCAATGCACACTTTCTCTCTAGAGACATAAGCTGCCACCCACCGGAGACACACTCCTAATTACACCTGCCATAATTACAAATTGAGGGGAGGGGCAGACAGATTATACTACTGTGCACTTGCTGATTGGCCCGTATTAAAATTTATGACAGACTGGATTGTCTATGCTGTACTGCTGTGAATTAATATCAAACCGTGATTTATTTGTTTCATATTTTCTACAACTCTGCACCATTAGACTGCCCCACACATTATGGCCAGCAGAATTTAGTCAGCATGCATACCCCCCTCCCCAAATGTAGTGATGGTACATTCCACCTGCCCTACTCCCCATAAGGGACTGTAGTATAGCTGTGGATGGGTTGCCCAGCAACACCATTTTCACAGACCCATGCAAGCAGTATGTGGTTGGTTGGATGGACATGAACTGTTCTGCATTAATCCTCCAGACATATATTCATAGCCACTTAGGTAGATGTATCTTATCCAGTCTATGATTACTATGACTATAAGCAATAAAATTAAAAAATGCATAAAAATGTATTTAAAAGCTTTAAACATATTTCTGTCAACAGATGAGATGGGCAGAATGAACGGATGGGTGAAGAAGATGAGGAGTGTAGTGTGATCTCACTCCTCTCCACATGGGCTAAACAGGGCTCAGATTCACAGACACCAGAGAAAGGGAAGGGTTCACATTCTGGTGTCAGAACGACCAGATTTTGGTGCAACAACACTGAGTCTAAAATAAATAGAGTTTGTGTTTTCCATTTGTCAACCTCTAGAGTACGCTATTGCTCTTTCTTACAGCATGTCGGGGAAAAGAAAACATGAAAAAACAATTGCTGTCCAAAATTTGCCATTATTTGAACTTAAGGCCACAATATAAATCAGAGAATGTGTTAAATAAGTAAATATGTAAATGCTAAGGAAATATTAATTAATCGTTTATTTCCAGCAATGAAAAAATAAATCTTGTGCAAAAAATAAAAAATAAATGAAATGAAACCAAATACACAGTATTCTCTGAAACGTTAGAAAGATGTTGTTTAACCTTTAATCCAAACAAAACTTGAATGAAGAAGCAGTGATTAACCTAGTGTTCTGCTGCAAGCTCCCTCTAATGTTTAACCCTGTTGTGTGTTTAATCAAACAATGGCCAGTAGTGTAAAGGTCACACAAAGACAGAAGTTTCATATTTAAAGCAAGTTTTTTTATATATATAAACCTGTGCAGTCATAATTTATGCAACACATCTGTTCTTTCCTTGAGATTAACTTGTGTTTTCTGGACAGGCAGTTGTAGAAAAAATTCCAGTGTTTTTTTTTTTTTTACTATTCTTCTCTGACTATACCAGTGGTTCTCAACCTTTTTTTCCACCGGGCCGCACCAGCTTCCACTCTCTGCGCAAACTATTGGATACAGCGCACATTTATCTAGGTTTAACGTTTAAACATTGTTATATGCTTGAACTGTTTTATATCTATAGATTTTATTTTAGTCAAGTCGTGATGATTTGAGAAGGCTAAATTGATCAATCATATGCTCACTGTCTGCCGCTGGCCACTTGGTCGTTACTTTAAATGCGTAACGTTAATTAGGCTATGTGAGTACTGCTCATGTCTGAAAATAATATATGAAAAACAAAATTATTTTACATAAAAACATTAGGCTATAGCTTATATTTATTTAGTACATTTTTAAATTAATGTAAAAACTAAAATGAATTGTAAAACTGAATGTAATTTTTTAAAAATTGTGTTCAGCATGGTGGGCCGCATTTGAATTCGTGACGGACCGCATGCGGCATTGAGAACCACTGGACTATACTATAGTCACTATAGTATTAAGGAGAACGCATCACAGAACATCTCTCAAAAACAATTATATTCAATTTTGTTCCATTTCTATATAAAGGCCATTCATTCTTATATGGATCCAATTATATACTTAACATAAATAACTTTAAAAAAATCTATATATAATGTGAATCAACTACTGATGAACAGAACGTCTCCTAACGAAAACTCAAAATCCCAGGTTGCTATTGACGTCATTATTCTTCGACACTGACGACAGCAGAACGCGACAGATTGAGGAAGATTTACCAAACACTTGTGGGTTGCTGTTACTTTTACATCACAACCAGATAGCATTATCGAAGTACTACACTAGTGATGGAAGTGAGGCCGTAAACTATTCTATTCTAGTCCTCGCTTAGCTAAAACAGAAACCCAAGCCGCCTCTTCTGAGCTCTGCAATCACGTATGCCAACATTACATCTCGCAGTGAAATACTGCCGTGGATCGTAACCATGACTTTGAGCATGGACATCAGCGTTTCTTTTCTCAAGTGCGAACTCGCCTCTACTATTGACCAGGCGGTAAGATGCGCCGTCGAAACGGTTTTAAAAGAAACGGCGCGAGTTGTTGGCATAAAGCTGGCCGTGGCTCGAAACGCAGCGGCAGAGTCGCACCGAGAGAACCAGACCCTGCGCGAGAGACTGGAGATCTCCGAGAGCGAGCTGAAAGCAGTGCGCTACTACATGACCGCGGCTGAAAAGAACATCAAACAGTGTTTACTTCTCAACAGAAACCAGCTCGGGTCAAATATCGTGCGCCCAAACGCAGAAGACGCACTTTTTGTGATTCCGTCACGCGCTGCGGACGGAAGCCCCACATTACAGGCGCAAAACAGAGATTCCTCCCGCAAGAGCTTCCGAAACTCACCGGGAAGAATCCACAATCCCAAAAGTCTCCCTAGTGTTGGCCTCTGTCTCCCCACGGTGCAGTCAGACTGGCCTCGGGAGTGCCTCAACCGCAGAGAGGCAAGAGGAGGGTCCTCAGGAGGCAACAGTTCAGCGCTCGCGAGTGACCCCACGACCTCACAAACTCTTGTGGAAAACAATGCTGCTCTCTTCAAACCAGAAGATGAGCCAGAGGGCCCGTTTTACATCACTAATGAGGGTGAAAAAGGTTCATTGTTATTATTTTTACCATTTGCAAGTCGAATACTGCCAAACAAGTGTGACCACAGAGTATTAACCATAGATGTTTATCAATTTGGCAAAGTCTGACATAATAGTAAGAGAAAGTTTTATCTGAAAAGGAACCGTTTTAGACAAAATATTTTTTTTAAATCTTTAAAAAAACGTTTTTGAAAATATGCAATTTGATGCAGATATTATTTATATAAAATTCTGTTAGCTTGCACTATAAATCAATTGGGACTTTTATAACAATATAACAGACTACTAGCATGTAAATATAATTTGTCACTCAATCATATTATGACCAAATCTCTGTGAAGTTTTAAATGTGGAGGACAAAACATAATTGCATGCAATGATATACAAATAAACAAGCCTCAAAAAGTTATTTTAACATGATTTTCAAAAAATGTATGGTTAATCAAGCAAACATAAGCTGCTTCAGTCCAGTAAATGTTTATCTTAAAATATTACTAACAATATGAAAGTTATACTTAGTTTTTATTTCTTCAAAATCATGAGATTTCACAGCAAAACAATACGAGTACCACAACCTAAATGGGGCTTCTTCTTTTTTTTAATAAAAGGCATTTCACATGCTAAAAATATATGAACATGAGCTTTTCCTTGTTTTACAGGCAACAGTTCTGCAGTAACAGACAGTGAGAGGAGACATGAGGAACCAGAAAATCCAGACCCCTCCGCAAACCCACCAGAGGATCCATCTGACATGACAAAGTTTGAGTTTGAAATGAGCACGCCAGCTGGGAATGTTAATGAGCTGGAGCTGATACAGGTGATGGAGGACTCTGATGAAGTCCAACAGGGCACCATTAAAATCGAAGACGATCCTGATTCCCTTACATTAGAGCCTCCTTCATCAAATCTAGCTGTAGCATCTTCTTCCATCTCCATGGAAGAGTTAGCGCAAATCTCCTCCCCTTCGATGCGGGAGAGTGATGGTGATGCTTTGCTGGCCTTGGCTGCACCTGTTAGTAGTGACTCCGGGTTCAGCAGGACTATCGAGAGCCCTGATAAAGTGCACCGCTGTAACATTTGTGGCCGAGGGTTCAGACGTTTCTACTGCTTGAAAACGCACCAGCGCATACACACAGGAGAGCGTCCGTATCCTTGCAGATACTGCGAGAAGCGATTCCGCCATTTGGACAGCTTACACAAGCACCAGCGCATTCACACAGGAGAGAGACCCTACCGCTGTGCTGAGTGTGGATGCTGCTTCAGAGAACTCGGTCAGCTCAAAAAGCACAGACTCAAACACTCACCCACATTTGTTCCGGTGGCCAATCCCACCTTCCCTCTCCTCCCAGCCGGACCCTCCTATGTCTGGCCACATCTCAACACACAGTCTTTGGATTCAGTCTAGGCATGTGGCGGTATTTTCAAAGCATGGTAATTGTGGAAACTGGTACGGTATTATCTGCTGGTATTCAATGATGTTACAAAAACAGGTTGAAAAGATAAACTTATCCTCTTAAATATTCTCAAATCAGGGACATTAAAAATATATTAAAACAACAAAAAAATTATAAAGTAAACATGTTTCAAACGGATTAAAGTACAAAAGAGCACCACTACAAGGGACAATAACAACAAATTAAAAGATTTTTAACCATTATCCAAATATATTTTCTGGGCTGGTGTGTTTTAGTCCAGATTAAAATGTACAAGTGTAAACAAATGCGTATTATATAACGCTTAGTATTAAATACTCAATATTTGGTGGTGTTATTATAAACACCATAGCAAATACAAAATCTGAATGGTTGTTTTGAAAGCATTTAAATACTGTTTGACTTCAGTTCAGAAACAGGAATTTTCATAGCACTACTTTGTGTACACAGGGGTAACCACTGTATTTCTGCTTTTCTGTAAGTGCCACATACTGTCAGAGCATGAATTTGCATTTCCATTTGGCCTGTTTGCGTTTTTTTTTTACAAAACTTCAGATCAAAAAGAAAATCTGACTTATTTTATATGCAGCATACATGTCATGCAGTGTCATACATTTTAACTGGTTAATGGAAAATAAGCTAATGTGCAGTCTAAAAGTCTTTACAATTCAGAAAACAAGGTACCCAGAATTATTCACTGTATTTTGAAGTGTGCATAATTACAATACTGTATGTTCATTCCCACAATGTACCGTGTTACCAAATACCAGCACATGTCTACTTCAGTAAAAGGCCTAGTGAAGAGAAGACATTTTATGAGAATATGTTGTGGCACAAAACACACCACAGATAAAGTTTGTTCAGTAACAGTTTGGTCCAAAAACAATTGGAGGTATATTGGAAGATATATATTTGCCTGATTGTGTAAACAATTTGTCCATCACACACACACACACAAAATTAATTTAGATTAATATGTACAAAATACATCAACCACAGTGCAGCATGACAATAACTATAATGAGTTGTTTTCATGCATAAAAACAACAATGCAAGTGTTAAAGTGCAAAACATTTAAATGGGTTCCAGCTATGATTAAACTTTCACAATAGGGCATTTTTCTGGTCTTGAGGCTTGATTTTACTCACTCTGATCATCACACAAAAATGTGCATCCTGCACAAATCAGAACTGAAACTAATTATTTTTGTACTTGGTGTAAATACCTCAGTATAAATTATAGCCTGACAAATAAAGGCAGAAAGTACTACACCCATGCCCATGTTAAGATTTTATATAGTGCTCTTTTTGTTTTGCATTTTAAGTGGGCCTGCATAGTGTACTTGATGCAACCTAAAATTAAGAAATAGGTATGTGTGGTACTTGGTTTAATATCAGATCAAATGTTTGACTGGTTAAACATCTAGTTTTTTAAATAACGAATCAAATGGTAAACAACACGGTTCTCTCATGGTCATCTCAAAATCGTCTTCCACTTGTGATATTTCAGCAGTCCTCTCTGTGAAGTCACATGGGCGCTTCCTCTGTCCCGTGACTTTTTTTTAACAAACGGAGGGGCAGGCAGGCGGGACAGTCCAGCCCTGCTGCAGTGTGAGAATACGTGATCATTACCTCTCAATGCACCGTTACATAATAGAGTTATGTTTTTATTAGGTCTTGCTGTCTGTTGTTCATAGTCAGGTCCACGGGAGACACGACAGCGCGCTCCTCATCCGTCATGTCCCGGGGGTTTGATGATCACGAGATCTGAGGCTGCAGACGAAAACTTTCCACCTGCGATTCTTTAAAGAAACGAAACCAACTCGACATGATGCTCTGAAGAAACATATCGGTTTCAGGACATCCTGCATCCACATTGTCAAGTAGTTTGGTTTCCTTGTGGTTTGTGTAGTTTCTTCCTAAAAGCGGAAGTTACATACCGCTTTTAGATTGGCGTCGCCGCTGTTGTTCATAAGGATAGGTAGGTCATGTTTGCTTCTCCATCTCCTTACTGTACTTCACCGTTATATGTGTCATTATAACCTTAAACGCACAGGCATCCTTGAGTGCTTAGGGAGGTGGCGGTCTCATCTAGAAATGCCAGCTGCCTTTTCTGGGATTAACGTCTGCTAGTTTATTCAGACAACTACTCGGATGTTAGTTTAGCAGCACCGTGGTATTTTTATAGTCGCATCTTTACTTGTATAGGACCGTAATACAGTCGCTTTTCAACCGCGTACTTCGGATTGTTTACATGATCATGTACTTCCGCTACTAGAAAGATGTAATGTTTTAAAATCGCGGTTCAATAGGCGATCAAGGTCTTGCAGTCTCAAGGTTTCCATAGTCATGGAAAAGTCGATTAAATAGAAAATTTACAGGCCTGAAAAAAGTCGTGGATATGAAGTCATTGACATTTATGGTGACTACAGCTCTAAATCCATCGGCTAGATATTTTTGAAAGCACACAAAAAAAACGTATATAAATAAATAATCTAATAATCATGAACTTGACATTACAGGAATAACTGCTTTTTATCATTTTAATTATGCTGATTTAAAAAAAATAGTTATATTACCATAACAAAAATACACAATATAACTTGTTTTTGAAAGAAGTCTCTTTTGCTCATAAGCCTGCATTTATTTGATCAAACATACAGTAAAACAGGAATATTATTACAATTTAAAAAACTGTTTTCTATTTTAAAAAAATGCATTTTAAGATGTAATTTATTTCTGTGATGGCAAAGCTGAATTTTCAGCAACCATTGGTCCAGTCTTCAGTGTCACATTATCCTTCAGAAATCATTCTAATATGCTGATTTGCTGCTCAAGAAACATTTCTCATAATTAACATTATAATAATTAACAGTTGTTTTAGTTAAAATTTTTACTTTGATGCATAGAAAGTTTAAAAGAACAGCATTTATTTGAAATAGAAATATTTTGTAACAATGTAAACATTTTTACTGGCACCGTTGAACAATTTAATGTGCCCTTGAGGAATGAAAGTATTAAAAAAAAAAACTTTACTGACCCCAAATGTTCGGTAGTGTATATATTATGAATGTTTGTGTAGTAATAATAATCTTATTTTGGTTTGTATGTACTAACCAGGAAACACTCAAATGGTTTTTTATTGCAGGTTCCTGTTTTTCAGACCATGGCAAATGAGCACTCTCCTCTGCTTGTTCACGGGGTGTACAGCATGATGGGTGATACTAAAGATTCCAGGGGTGGATCAGAAGTGACAGGAGAGGGAGCCCCCAAATCAAACCCCCGCAAACTCAACACCTTCTTTGGCGTCATGGTGCCCACCATCCTCTCCATGTTCAGTATTGTGCTCTTTCTTCGCACAGGTGAGTGAGAATGATGGGAAAAGACAGAAGTTGATGATCAGAGACTTGATAAAGTATCCTCACTCTGTGTGGCTCTAGGTGTTTTTTTTTGTACATTATTCATTCTGATACAGTGTAGGCCTATGTCGATTTTGCAGGTTTTGTTGTGGGTCATGCTGGTCTTCTCCATGGTTTCCTAATGCTGTTTGTGGCCTACTTCATCATCTCCTTGACAATCCTGTCTATATGTGCTATTTCAACTAATGGTGCAGTGGAAGGGGGCGGGGCCTACTGTATCCTTAACCAATCTCTGTGCCATATAGAGTGCTAGAATTGCAGACTCAATCATATGTGAATCTGTTGTTCATGAGTGGTTAAATAATGTTGTTGACCTTCAACTCTTTAGTCTTAGTTATGATCAGTCGTTCTCTGGGACCAGAGTTTGGAGGCAGTATCGGCCTGATGTTTTACTTGGCGAAGGTATGTGCGTGTGGCGTTTATGTACTCGGCCTGGTGGAGGCCATACTGGACATCTTTGGGAAGGATCCAGGTGAATGGTGCATTGAATCACACTGTACTAAACTGTCTTTGAAGCAATTGCATGCATATGGCTTGTGTTTTTACACTGAAGCATCTCTTTTCTTCTTTCTCTCCAGGCTCTGCTGTGTCTCATGGGCTGCGTGTGTTGCCGCAGGGTTACTGGTACACCGTGTTGTACTCCTCTCTAGTGCTGTTGCTATGTCTGGTGGTGTGTCTGGTTGGTGCTCATATCTACGCCAAAGCCTCTTTTATCATTCTGCTGGTGGTGACGGTGTCACTGATCTCTATCATCATCAGCCCCCTGATACTCCGTCCACAGCACTTCAACATCACACACACATACGGCAACAACCACACTGTCACTGTCAACCCCAGCTACACAGGCTTCAACAGCACTACGTTAAAAAACAACCTCGGACGTGAGTAAGATGATTGTTAATGCAATAGTGATAGTGATGGTTGTGATGATGATCATTGAGGCTATTTAGCAGTAATATTTCAAAAGACATAAAAGGGAAATGAAACTGATCATGATTGTGTTGTGTGTTAGATGAAACATTTAGTGAAAAAAAAAGTGTATTGGGCAGTAATGACATTAAAAAAAGAAAACACAATAAAAATGGATAGTCCTCATAGGAACATTTTGGTTTACTGACAAAGGGAATTTTTATAATGTGTTGTTCCTATACAGTATATACTATGCATGTACACTACCATTCAATAGTTTGGGGTCAGTAAGAAATTAATACTTTTATTCAGCAAGGTCGCACTGAATTGTGACAAAAGTAAGAGTAAAGACTTTTACATTGTTGTTAAAAAAAAAATGTTTCAAATAAATGCTGTTCTTTTGAATGTTCTATTCAACGAACAGCCCTGAAAAAATATTAGCAGTTTGCACAAAAATATTAAGCAGCACAACTGTTTTCAACATGGATAATAATAATGATAAATGTTTCTTGAGCAGCAAATGAGTAATAAGACTGACGTAATGCTGCTGAAAATTTGGCTTTGTCAACACAGTTTACTGTATGTTTACTGTAATAATATTTAACAATACCACTGTTTTTACTGTATTTTCTGAAATGTTTACTGTATTATCAAATTTTCTGAACCCACATATTTGAACAGTGTGTATGCATAATATAATTTAATGGCAATTAATGAGACACAATTTCTCAAATCAACATTTTACACAGACAAAAGCTGATTCTAGCTCTAACAAAATGAAGCGCTGATTACTTGTGTTGCCATTTGTTGGTTATCAGTCTGGCTGATATATCAATCTGTGAAGAATTTGATTTTTATATGTATTAAAATATAAAAAACTTTATTAAAATACAGACATTAGCCATAAACTTGTAAAATTTTACTGCTAATTTCTGGTTGACACAATTCAAAATATTAGAGAGATTTAAATTGAATAGATGATAAATGTTTAGGATGAAAAATGTCTCCTCTAATTAAAATTTTTAGCATAAAACTGTTTCCGTTAATTTATACAATTGCTTCACTGCCATGAATTTTGTCCAAATGTCTCGTCCTGTAGCGCACTACTCTCTGGACTACAGTACCAACACAATGATGTCTTTCGCCACTGTATTTGCCGTGATGTTCACCAGCTGCACAGGCATCATGGCAGGAGCCAACATGTCGGGTACAAAACCAGACAACCGCAGACACCTTTATTTATTTGCATCCTCTTTTTGGTTTCTGATCTAATCGTGTTGATTTTTACAATATTAATAACGCTTGTATAATGGATGAGTGTCATAAACATGTAATTTGATTTGTCTCACTTTCTCAGGTGAGCTGAAGAACCCCAGTGAGTCGATACCTAAAGGGACCATCATGGCGGTGTCGTACACCTTCACTGTCTATGTGCTTCTCTTCCTGCTCCTGAGTTCCACCTGCGACAGGTGCCATTTACGACACTCAAGCCACACGGAAATTTGCACAATGTGTTTACACAGTGCTTTGTTCTCCCTCTCATTTATCTCTACTTTTTCCTTCTGTCATTTCTTGGTCTCTCTCTCAGGTTGTTGTTAATCAATGATTACGCAGTGTTGCAGCGAGTGAATGTGTGGCCTCCATTCGTGACGATTGGGGTGTACTGCGCGTCTCTCTCAGCTGCTATGTGCTCCATGATAGGAGCTTCTCGAATCCTCCACGCGCTTGCTCTGGACCAGCTTTTTGGTTAGTTTGCATTTGTGGGTTTGGCCTATTTAAGAGCCATATTTCAGGCTGGAAACTGATACTGAGATGTTTGTGTTAGGGATGTTGACATCTCCACAAGAACTGTTATGGGAAAACATTAGTGAGCAGTACTTGGAAAGCAGTATTCATGGTTTCTAAGGAAAATATGCTTAGTGAATGTTTTTCAGTGTAACTTTTTTTTGTCACGTATAGGCTGTTGTATGGTGTGAGAGGTCATATATCTGTGTGAAAAGGTAAAAATTGACATTTTAACTAAAAGAATCATATTTCCTCTGACCATTTTCTACTCAAATCAGTTAACTGATTAGGCGTAATCAAAATGAACAAGCTATTCTTTTTGAGAAATTGATTTTATTGAATTTATTGAAAATGTAATTTTTTTCTTCTCAAAACATATAAACAAATCATTCACAGGAATCACAGAAAATGATTGATGGATTGCACAATTTATTGTAAAAATGTTATGTAGAACATCTTTTTAAAAATCCAGTAGGGATGCACGATAAGATAGGAATGTTATTGGAATCGGCTGATAAAGGCTTCAAATGTAAACATCGGCTTTGACCGATTTGAAAAAAATTATGCCGATAAGACAAATAGCTCACATAAGGCCTTTTTTATTTATTTAGAGGGCGCTGTAGACCTCCTTATAATAAAGTGAAAAGTAAAATACACAAATAACATTAAGATACGTGTTTCTGAATACATAAAGCAGTACTTTGTCATAAAATCACAAGTCTGTTTTGATTTAAAGGTCAGAAGCTATAGCTTACATGAATAAAAATCACAAACATGACAATTGTAAATTAATTCATTTAATATTTACAGATTTTTTTATTAATTCACTCCATGTAGAATTTGAACCACAGCTTACATCTATGTGTAGGGTTTATTTTCTTGATTTGACTCTGATTAGAAGAGGGAAAACCCCACTTGTATGATTTAAATGTTTACAGCAATGTTTAGTAGGAATGTTTTGCGTTACTTGCTGAAATTCCAGGAAACATTACAAAGGCACTGTTTGATTATGAATATAAACAGATAAATGGTGAAACATACATGACACCCTGGATATAATAAAGAATACTATGTCAACCTCCTGCAGTAACCTGGTAACTAGGTTACATTGTTAGTTTTGACATGGCTTATGATATCATGGTGTAATATTATGCTGGAGTGATGTAATGGTAGTGTACAGTGTCAGTGTTTTGTTGATCTGGTTTCAGGTCTGCCTCTGGCTCCGGCTGCAGTCACTTCCAGCTCTGGGAACCCATGGGTGTCTGTGCTCTACACCTGGGGTCTGGTGCAGGTATAGAGAGCTCTGTGCATATGTCTTTCAATGTTATTTCTGTCACGCATGATATAAAGAATATGTCTGTTAAGATTGTGTGTGTGTTGTAGTGTACACTGTTTGCAGGACAGCTGAATGTGATTGCTGGTATTGTGACAGTGTTTTACCTGTTAGCGTATGCGGCGGTTGATTTGGCCTGTCTGGCTCTGGAATGGGCCTCTGCTCCAAACTTCAGGTACTGCTCTAAGTGTGTGCGTGTGCGTGCGTGCGTGCGTGTATGCATTTTGTAAGATAATTTAGATTTTTGACCAATTTAATGCATCTTTGCTGAATCAAAAAAGTCATTTTCTTAGTTACTTGAAACTTTTTATCACTAGTATAAGTATTTATCTGTATATCTTTTTTTCTTCTCCTCTCTTTCCAGGCCAACGTTTCAGTTTTTCTCTTGGCACACGTGTTTGTTGGGTATTATAAGCTGTGTGGTAATGATGTTCGTTATAAACCCAGTGTATTCCTCGGCCAGTATTGTACTGCTGCTGCTGCTCCTCCTGTTCCTGCACTACCGCTCTCCCACCAGCAGCTGGGGCTACATCAGCCAAGCGCTTATCTTCCATCAGGTACCTTCACACACACAAAACACATGTGAATGCACTGAACTTTAAATCCATGAGGTGGTCTTTCTGTGCTGCTTTCAGGTGAGGAAGTACCTTCTGATGTTAGACTCCCGTAAGGATCATGTAAAGTTCTGGCGGCCTCAGGTCTTGCTGATGGTGGCGAACCCACGCTCCTCCTGTCAGCTCATCTGCTTTGTCAACCAGCTGAAGAAAGGAGGGCTGTTTGTTCTTGGGCATGTGCAGATTGGAGATCTGGGTAGGACGCAATAGGGAGCAATTGTATGATAGAACCTAAGTTTCACAAGACATACAGAATAAAGTTTTTCTGTTACCACATATGCATTTTATGAACACATTAAGGTGTGTTCTCTGGCATCTTAATCTCTTAAATGGTACAGAAAAGCTGTGTCCGTGTTTACATGATGTTCCAGAATGCTAAAGCGTTTCCTAAGTGCATGTAAGCAGGGTCATTGTTGCTATGTAAGGCTGGTCAGGATGCTTATGTTTTGATAATATCACAGAATCTGAAAAAGTGTTTTTACTCTTTGCATGGAAATCAAACCGCCAATGACAATGAATAGCTGTCTATAGAAATCTAATTTAAGATAAAAGAAATTTAATTATTTTCTCATTTGAGCAAATCCATCATAAGACCAGGGGCCCGTTCTTCGTACTTCGCTTATTAATGCCAAATCGTCAACAATCAAATCCAGCTAACTGAGTTAGCGACGTACGAAGAACAGGCCCCTGATGATGACTTCTGTTTTGTTTTGTTTTTTTGCAGCTAGTGTGTGTGCTAATGTGTTTCTCATTCCATTGTAATCTGTTCATTTAAAGGGGTCATATGATGCTGCTAAAAAGAACAGTATTTTGTGTATTTGGTACAATTATGAAGTAATAATTTTATGACGAATAAATCTTTCAGTGAGTAAAACTGGCTGTGTCTATAGTATTAAAGACTACACAGCATTATATATTATCTTTAAATTAATTTTGAAATAAGCCTGCTCCCGAGCAGGTTTAAGCTTACGGACTTGTTGCTATGACAGCAACTCCGGGATGAGCTTCGAAGAACCAAACAATCCAAGATCATGCCAAATCGTCAACAATCAAATCCAGCTAACTGAGTTAGCGACGTACGAAGAACAGGCCCCTGATGATGACTGAGTTCATTAATTTAAATGTAGTGTACCAAAAAAAGTTTACTCGCTCACCCTCTTGTAATTTCAAACCTGTTTGACATTTTTTTCTGCGGAACATGAAAGAAGATATTTAGAAGAATGTTCATAACCAAACAATTTTAGTGAGCATTGGCTTTCATTACATGGACAAAAAACACGGAGATCTTTTTAATTATAAATATCTATATGATGACAGAATTGTCATTTTCAATTGAACTGTGCCTTTAAGATTACTAAACAGCACACTGGTTGTCAGAGAAGAAAGGGACAAACAACCAAACATAATCTCTCTGAACTCTCTCTTACAGATGTGTTGCCAGCAGACCCGGTGCAGCCACAGTATAATTTCTGGTTGAGTCTAGTGGATAAGTTGGGTGTGAAGGCATTTGTAGATCTGACTCTCTCTCCGTCTGTCAGGCAGGGCACTCAACATCTGCTCCGCATTACTGGACTAGGTGAGACATTTCCTCATCACATTATCTTTACAGTCAGGAAGCATCAATTAGATTACATTCATCTGTTATTGTGCAAAGAACAAGTACATATCTAGTGAAATAATACAGTAAATACATTATAGTATTTTTTTTTCAACACTGTTTGTGTAAGAGCTCAGCTAGTTCAGAGATGGCATCTGCTCCACAATGTTAAAAGTCATTCATATCTTTTAGGATTGACTCATTCTTCTCATCTAATTTACAGTAGTGTATATACTTAATAATTTAGTAATTTTTTTTATTTATCCTGTATTTAACCAGGAAATTCTTATTGAGATAAAAGATCTCTTCTTCCAGTTTTAGTCAAGAGGCAGCACAAATAATTTCACTTATACAATTTCACAATACAGCAAAGTTTCCTTTAGAGCAATTTGTAAAAACTTTTAAGGTATTCAGTGAAAGAACATCCTTCAGTGTGTTGATTACTTGTATGCAGATAAACTGTTTGCCTGTAAATGAGCACTGTTATCACATAAGTAATCATTACATACTGTAGATTTTATGATAAAGTCGCATTCTTCTTTTAAACATGTTTTATCTGAGTTGGCAATGTGACTTTGCAGTCTGTGCTCGGTGGGATGCACTAAAAAGACAAGTGTAAAGTGAAATAATGGCAAGAAACATCTTTCTATTGACTTGTCCTTAAGAGTTGCATGCAAAAACAAACATATGGCACGACAGGAGCAACCAGATTCACAAACAAATGACTGTTACAAGCTATTTTTTTAGCGAATCAAAAACATACTATTATACAACTATAGCATAATACATGAACAAATTACTCTTATGAGGTAATTCTTTTTTAATGATTCAGGAACACAAATAGTGCAGCCCATTTCACAAACAAATGACTCCGTTTGCAGAGCGAGTTAGCTATGAGCTAGTTCCATATAGTGAATCAAAAACATCTAAAACCATAATAGCCTCACAACAAATGACTCTTATGAGCTGGTTCTTTTTCATGATTCAAAAACGTACAATGTGACCAGTATATTCCAATTCACAAATAAATGACTCTCGTGTGTGGTTCTTTTTAGTGAATCAAAAACTAGTGTTGCTTGACTCTTATGAGCCATTTCTCTTCGCTTCTTTTCCAGGAGGCATGAAGCCTAATACTCTGGTCTTGGGCTTCTATGACAACTGCTATCCAGAGGACTACTTCCTGCAGGACCCAGTCTTTTGCGAGGGTGATAGGGGTGAAGGGGATAATTTCGGGGTGGACCTCCCATCCTTACAGGCTCATTTTCCACCAGTGCGCCATGCCGAGAGCCCTCGCGCTCTGCAGCCAGAGGAGTATGTGAGCATCATCCATGATGCCATAAAAATGGGCAAGAATGTTTGTTTGGGCCGCTACTTTTTCCAGCTGCCGCCTGAGACCAAAGGCATAAGAGGAAATGACAACATGGACACCATTGACGTGTGGCCAACAAACCTACTGTCCCCAGGTAGCGCCAGTTACGCAGACGTGTCCAGTCTTTTCTTGCTTCAGATGGCGTGCGTCTTAAACATGGCCAACAGGTGGCGCCGTGCGAGGTTACGTATATTTGTCTGTGTGGAGTCAGAATCGGGAGACCAGGGCTGGCTGGCCAAAGAAGAGCAATTTAGAGAGTTGCTGGGAAAGCTGAGGATTCGTGCCGCTATTAAGATTGTAGCATGGGATGACGTGGCACGCATAGGTAGAGGGCCAAACTCTGAGGGTCAAAAATTGACAGAGGACTTCCTGTGTGCCGTGAATGCCCTGCTGAGGGAATACAGCTCTACGGCAGCAGTCCGCTTCCTGTATTTGCCCCACCCTCCCTCCAGTTCCCAGCTGTCACAGCAGTACCTGACACAGCTGGACACGCTGACGCGAGACCTGGGCCCAACTCTCTTGATTCACGGGGTCACACCGGTAACATGCACTGAACTCTGAGAAACAATAACCAAAACGTGTTTGTGTGATAGAGATAGAGAGGAACATCTGGAATGTTAGGGAGTGGAATACAAGTGTATTTGATTCCTAATATTCTCTAATGGTGGGTGATTTTGAGGACCATACATCATAAACTGGTAAAATATGTGCACTTGGTAAAAAATCTTATTTAAAAACAGATGGTTGGAATTTGTGTTATTGGTGAAAACGGGTGTGTTTTGGGTTTATGGGTAAATACTGCCATATCATGATGTAGTGCACCGTTACTTTTGTGTTCTCCATTGCGCCTCTGTTTGTTCCCATTAAGTTTGGTGTTGGTGTAAAGGGAGAGCTTGCATATCCTGTGATCCATGTTTATGTGTTTGTGCAAGACACAATATGGACAAATAATGTTGGCTAATTAGGATGGAACGAGTTTGTCTTAAATGAGATGTGGTTACATTTGGCACAGTAATAGGGCAAAGTGAGTCTGTTTACTCACTTTTTGTTTGCTTTTTGTTATTGTAATACACTGTTGGGGAATTTTGTTAATCATTTCTGCTTTTTCTTGATATAAACCGGCCCTTTGACCCCCTTGTGACCAAGTTAGAGCTTGTGAGCCATTGAGGAGCCCTCGTGGGTTTGGGTCATTGTTGGTGTCTTGGCAGAACTGCTGCTCTCAGCTTTGCGTTTAGAGCACTTGCGATGGATTTGTGCATTGATTGCATATTTACTGCCAATTATATAGACATGTTATTTATTATTATTAATATTATTACATTTGTGTGTGTGTGTGTGTGAGAAAGTACGTCTTCTTGTGCACCTGTTTTCATTATTAAGTCTGGATTTCATATTGTGTGCCTCAAGAAATTCCCCTGACCATTTGCATTGCCTCTTGCTGTTTTTTACATTCTGTTGATACTGTGTGTTTTTTGCCGTTTTTACAGTTCAAACGCTCTTTGTGTTTATGATTCTGTTGACTGGGTTGAAGTGGAGCAGGGAGCTCATAAATGGTTTGATTAGTCAGGGCTAAAGATGATGTTTGGGTTGAGTCTGTGCTGGTCTTTGTGAAGTGAAAAGGGACACTGGCTTAAATAATACTTGAATATTTTGCACATGTGTTAAGCATTAACAGAAAAGCAACGCCAAAGCCCAAGAATGTCAGGCCTTTATCATATTTGTAATAATAGGAGTCTTATGCTAAATAATACATGTGTACAAGTAATTCCATTCTGTACATATATATATAAATATATATATATATATAAATATAAATGTTTTTAACAGTGCTTGAATATGCAGATTGCTTTACACAATCCAGTTTCCATATAATCTGAAGTATTTAGAGATCAAAAATCATTAAGGTGCATTATTAACAATTTAGTTCTACAAGAAGAGCGCAATCATATGACTGAATGTAGAGTTTGTAAACAGAAGACTATGTGATTAAATAAAATATTTCAGTCTTCTTCTTTCTTCATTGCCTCTTTCTTTATGCTGAAATTATAATGCTGTCCTTCAGTCTAGATTGCGTGTTTTAGTTTTGCATTATGGAAAAGCAATAAATACATTGTGTATGTAAAAGTCATAGCCAGTAGTATAAACGAGTGATTATAAAGTAGTTAAAGGGATAGTTTACCCAAAAATGAAAATTCTGTCATTAATTACTCACCCTCATGTCATTCCAGCACGTTCTAAATGTGTGTCGAAGACTGACACAGACGGGAAGAAATAAGTCGTTATTTTTTTATTTTCTTTGTGCATACAAAGTATTCTTGTAGCTTCATAAAATTACAGTTGAACCACTGATGTCACATGGACTATTTTAACAATGTCCTTACTACCTTTTTCTGAATGTGAACGTGGCAGCTCCCATGCTATCTGTGCAGGGTCAGAAAGCTCTCGGATTTCATCAAAAAAATCTTAATCTGTGTTCCATGAGGGTGAGTAATTTAATGACAGAATTTTCATTTTTAATGTTCTTCACTGCTGTCCTATGGATATTTTTCACATTTCCGGGCTTGTAATGCAAAAAAAACAACAGCAGCAGGGTAAATGGAACAGCTGACATCAGGAGGTAAAATCTACTTTCACTCCATATTTGAAAATTCTTGATAGGCCCATATAGTTGAATGGTATAGTATCTAATCATTAATATGATGCAGTTAATTATTGCCAGCTAGACCTCTAAGCATCACAACTGGCATATCACATTTCTCAAAAAATGCTGATTCGTTCAACACATAAAACAAGGGAGAAAATTACACCCTTGGAACTGAACAGATATCCATAATAAAAGGAATTTGTGCTCCTGTCAAGATCTTGCTGTCTTTTGAAAATTAAATATTAGCATTAATCATTATTGCTAACACAAACTCAGGGAAGGTTGTGTATTGATGCGCTGAACTCCATATCAGTTTTGACTGTTGTGCTAGGTAGATTTATTTTTGTTAATGCCAAGATAATAGTCAAAAGTAAAGGTTATTTGTTGTATATATTGTCCCATTCAAATGTTTGGGGTCAGATATGTGTGTGTGTGTGTGTGTATATATATATATATATATATATATG